AGTGGAATACTGTACAACAATAAAGAACAATGCAGAATATGTGAAACACTGCATAATATGGATGAATTTGGAGGACATTATGCTGAATGAAATAAATAAATCACAGAAGGACAAATATTGTATTAGTTCACTGTTGTAAAATGTATTTCCTTGGAAAGGTTTATATATAGAAGGAAGCTTTTTTTGTTGATTGTGAGGGATGCGAGGGGAGGGAACTCTGCTAGATAAGTAGAGACAGGTAGTGATTTTCATGATGGGAAGGGCAAAATACGGTGAGTGATCAACACAGTAGCACTGAGAAAGAGGAAGACATAGAGAAGGCAGCCAAACACATGAAGAAATGGCTCATTAGCCATTGTTGTTATGTGCCCTTGAGCCATACCTGACTCATAGCAATCATGCAATCTGTACATTCAATGGTACATACATCAGTTAGATATACTTCTTGGAGTAATCAATCATGGGAGAACAGAAGGGCAGTGTTTGCACAGGGTGATAGCTCAGGGGTGGGGGGGAATGCATGGAGGGAAGGACACAGGGAAGAGGTACCAACAGAGAGGAAGTGGGAAGAGAGCTGTTACATTGTGAGGAATTGCAGTGAATGTCATGAAACAAAATGTGTATGAAATGCTGTATGGAAAATGAATTTTCTCTATAAACTTTCACCTAAATCACATAAAAAATTTTAAAAAATAATGCTCTGACATTATTGAATAATCTAAACTCTAGAAAAATTTACTGTCTTCTGTCATCAAGGAGTAATTGAAAAACACAAGACAGCATCATAATCTCTACTTCCTCCCTAATAAGTACCAGACCCACCGTCATTGAGTTGACTCCCACTCATAGCAACCCTCATTGGGTTTCTAAGGCTGTAAATCTTTATGGAAGCAGAGTTCCCCATCTTTCTTCCATGGAGTGGCTGGTGGTTTTGAACCGCTGACCTTTTGGTTAGCAGCCAACTGCCTTAAACAGTCTACCACCAAACCTCCTTCTAATAAGTACAGGCCAATATTAATTATAATCCGTGGGTACATTCAAAGAAGGAAGGCTAATGCTAAATTTTCAGCAGCTTTAAAAAATGCGATTGTAACATAGCTTACTGAATTCAGGAGACTTCTTGGAATACCTGTTGGTGTTTATTAGTGGGAGCATGTTGGCATTTTGGTAGGATAAGACCATTGCACTGAATGTCCTAGCCATTGCTGGATGTGTTACATCCTCACCTGCCACCCACTAAATGCTAGTAGCAACCTTCAGCCATTGTGATAATCAAAAATGTCCTTACAAATTTCTAATCTTACCCAGCAGAGAACCATTGACCTTACTATAGTTTCAGAGGGATATAAAGGATTGAGTCATTTATTTAAGCCTCTCTAGGGAGCTCTGGTAGCATAGTGGCTAAGGCACTTGACTGCTAACCAGAAGGCTGGCGGTTCAAACCCACCAGCCACTCCTCGGAAGGAAGGTTGGGCAATCCTACTTCCGTAGTGATACTGCCTCGGAAACCCAAGGAGGGGTCGCTATGAGTCAGGGCTGACTCGACGGCACATAACAACAACAACAACAGATGAACAACACTGAACAAATGGTTACAGCAGTGCATCAATAGGGAACTACTAGAAGTTCAAGGTAGATTCATAAGATGTGGAATGAGAGATATCATTGCTGATGTCAGATGGATCTTGACTGAACCAGAGAATACCAGAAAGATGTTTACCTGTGTTTTATTGACTATTTAAAAACATTCAACTGTGTGGATCTTAACAAATTATGGGTAACATTGTGAAGTATGGGGATTCCAGAACACTTAATTGTGCTTATCCAGATGTACTTACACAAAGAGGCAATCATTCGAGTATAACAAGGTAATACTGCATGGTTCAAAATCAGGAAAGGTGTGAGTCAGGGTTGTATCCTTTCATCATACTTATTCAATCTGTATACTGAGCAGATAATCTGAGAAGCTAGACTATATGAAGAAGAACATGGCATCAGGCTTGGGGGAAGGGTCATTAACAACCTGAGATACACAGACGACACAGCTTTGCTTAATGAAAGCAAAGAGGACTCGAAGCATTTACTGATGAAGATCAAGGACTACAGCCTTAATATGGATTACACCTCAACATAATGAAAACAAAAATTGGACCAATAAGTATCATCATGATAAACAGAGAAAGTATTGAAGTTGTCAAGGATTTCATTTTACTTGGGTCCGGGGTCAATGCCCATGGAAACAGTAGTTAAGAAATCAAATGACATATTGCATTGTGTAAATCTGCTGCAGAAGACCTCTTTAAAATGTTAAAAAGCAAAGATGTCATTTTGAGGACTAAGATGCACCTGACCCAAACCATGGTATTTTCACTAGACTCATATACATGTGAAAGAAAGCTGGACAATGAGTAAAGGAAGACTGAAGAAGAATTGATGTATTAGAATTATGGTGTTGATGAATTGAATATACCACGGACTGCCAGAAGAACGAATAAATCTGTCTTGAAAGAATTATAGCCAGAATATTCCTTAGAATATTCTCCAGGCCTTGGATAAGGACATTGTGCTCGATAAAGTAGAAGGTCAATGAAAAAGAGGAAGACTCTTAACGACATGAATTTACATAGTGGCTGCAACAGTGGTCTCAGGCATAGCAACAATTGTGAGGATGGCAGAAGACTGGGCAGTGTTTCGTTCTGTTGCACATCAAGTCACTATGAGTCAGAACCAACTCGATGGCACCTAACAACAGCAACAACATATGTTTTAATATGTAGAAAATCTATGCTTCTAGATAAAGAGTAATTGATGTAGACCATTTTTGTCTCCTGGAAATATCTAACAAAGTTCTGAGTGACAGGTCTGTCAAACAGACAGAGTTGATTCAGGCAACTTGAATTTACTAGTCCCCTTTTTCAAAGAATATGAAACAAAGGATTTATTGTATTTTCTAAATATGCTGCTTCCTTTTTATTTAGTAAGTTTCTGTAAAGTAATGATTCTTGTATGTTTTTATGTAACTTATAATACGCATAGTGGCTAAAGCACTTGACTGCTAACCAGAAGGCTGGCAGTTCAAACCCACCAGCCACCCCTCGGAAGGAAGGTTGGGCAATCCTACTTCCGTAGTGATACTGCCTCGGAAACCCAAGGAGGGGTTGCTATGAGTTGGGGCCCACTCGACGGCACATAACAACAACAACAACAAATAGTACATTCATGGCAATTTAAGATAAAACTTTTTGTTGTTGTTGTTGTTATGTGCTGTCGAGTCGGACCCGACTCATAGCGACCCTTCCTTGGGTTTCCGAGGCAGTATCACTACGGAAGTAGATTGCCCCATCTTCCTTCCGAGGAGTGGCTGGTGGGTTTGAACCGCCAGCCTTCTGATTAGCAGTCAAGTGCCTTGGCCACTATGCTACCAGAGCTCTAAGAAACTTTATTTCTGTCAAGAGAAGTTCTTTAGATGTTTAATAAACCTTTATTGAGTTGCACACATTTCCCTTAAAATAAGTTGGAGAGGGTACAATTACCCATGTAAATTTCAGATATGAGAATTATCCATATAAATCTCAATAAGATAGGTTGGCTATGGCTATCTTATTTGTTTTAGATACCTTTTCTAACTAGAGAGATAAATCCACCATAAGTGTATTTTAAGATTAAGCATAAAAGCTAGTTATTTTAGTGTTGGTGTTTTAAACACAGAATGCAATAAGTGGCAGCTAAACTTCATACTGTGTATAAAGCTCTAAATTATTTCATATATTGGAATTCACTTGCTTTTTGTTTGTTTCCTAGGACACTTTCCAGCAAATTCCATTGAGTTCAAAATCTTTATTTAAACAAAGTAGTCATGATTGCAAAGCAGAACAGAATTGAAAAATGGGATGGTGGTGTTTATTTTATTCTGTGGAAATTGACTTGGGAGATCAATTCTTCACTGGGCACATATTTTCATTTTTAAAAGTGATTTAAAATAGTAAAGCTGAAGATGTAGGAGTTGTGGATTATTTACTGAACAATTAAGGCAGAAATTTTAATATTGTCTGTGAGCTTTTATAATACTTTTTAAAAACAGCACATAGGTGTCAACACTTAGCTTTTTCCTTATATATAAGTTCACATATTTTAATTCTTAGAGATGATGTTTATACTTATTGTTGCCGTAGAAAACCAAAGTAGCCCACTCTTGCATTCTTGATTGAGATTATAGTTTCTTTTTATTTAAGGCTTAGAACAAGGAATGTTATTTCCTCAGCAGGGAAGAACAATTAGCCAATCCATTAATTAGACCCCAGTTTACACTTACTTCTAATTGTGAAATATGCTTGAAATACCATTGTCTGCTCTTATTATGGGTATTAACACTTATTAGCAATGGATAATATGTTTACATTTATGAATGAGGCTCTATAAATATTTTTAGGCTGGCAAAGAATATGGTCTTGTATAAACTAACAAATATTCTTTATAATATAATAGGATTTATTGGTGATTAAGTGAATAGTTAAATTTCTTTTATTTTTGACATTAATTCTTGATATCTTAGCCATTGAGGTTAAATATTACATTGTAAATACATAGTTTTAGTAGTTATTAAGTAAGCATATGGTCCTCATTTGATAATTTTAATTATTTTATTATATCGTTTCCAAATAATTTTACAAGTTCTATAAGAATTACCAGAAAGTTTGTTTAAATTTAGAACAAATTAGAAATCATTAAGTCCAAGTTTAAGAAGTTAATTCCACCTCATCTGTTAGACAGTCATGCACCTGTGATTTAGCATTCCAAGATGTGGAATCAAGATCTATAGTTTCAGATAGATTCTTAAAGTAACTTTGCTTTATTTGTAGAAATAACATTAGATTTAAAATATTTAGATTAGTTAAGTATATGCTTGGGTGATTATATTTAAAACATAGAACCTTGGCTAGACTGTAGTCAGATTTCTTCTAGCCAACATTTAATTTATTTCTTGCTTTTAACTATTTTAGGTTATTGTTCAAATGATGTGGTTGATGGATCATATTTTTAAGTACACAAACTTTGGAATTGTTTCTCTAATTCATGGAGATTTCTTTATAAGGCAGGTAAGTAATAAGCATCTCTCTTTTTTTTTTTTTGTTGAGGTGATAATCTTGTCAAACTGGTTCTTGATTATCAAAAGAAGCATAATGAAACCAAATATAATTGGAAGAGCCCATTTCAGTGTCTCAGGAGCTCTTCCTCTGAATCTTTGTTCCCCAAAACATTTATTTCAGTCTGAGTTTGAGTATGAATAAGTCTGAAAGTCTGATAATGCAGATAGCATAACCTCCACCCTCCTCCTCCGTCTAGAGAGTATAATTCAGTTTAGTAGCAAGCTCCTGTCCCATATCCCAGCTAATCTGCTTCTTAGCTATATGAATTGGACAAGGTACTGAAACTCAATTTTCTTGTTTTCAGAATGAGAATAATTGATGGGTTAGCATGGGGATTAAATGAAGTAATATATACGTAAAGTACTTAGAACAGTGTTTGCTACCTTTTTCATCATCTGTATCTTGATTACCACCACCATCACCATCTGTATTATCACTATTAGTTTTATTTGTTGTTGTTGTTGTTGTTGTTATGTGCCGTCGAGTCGGCCCCGACTCATAGTGACCCCTCCTTGGGTTTCCGAGGCAGTATCACTACAGAAGTAGGATTGCCCAACCTTCCTTCCGAGGAGTGGCTGGTGGGTTTGAACCGCCAGCCTTCTGGTTAGCAGGCAAGTGTCTTAGCCACTATTTATTAGCCATTTTTACATGATTCAGAGGATATCTAAATTAGCAAGCTGTCCTCTTCCTTTGTAAGTCTATATTCCAGTAGCGACATTATGATATAAAAAAAAAGGAAATGTTTTCCAAATTCATCATAGAAAACAAGCACATCAGACTTCTGGGAATCCAGAAGAACTTTACAAAAGAAAGTGATACTTGTCATAATTTTAAAGAATGGGTTTGGGTTTGTTAGAGGAAGATGGACTGGGAACGGGTCCCATGCATTAGAAATAGTTTGGTGTAGAAAAAAGAATTATAGTCCCTATCACGTTGGCTCTATATTATAATATTTTCCTAATATGCTACTAGTATTATACTTTATTTTCTCAGAAGGAGATAACTTAAATATGGTAAGCAAGGCTTTTTAATATATGGCAATGCCACATTTATGTGGTGTTTGTATATTTAGCAACTTTATTCTTAATTGTTCAGTGCTTTGCATATAATAAGCACTTAATGAGTAACTGGGGAATTGAATTGCGCCTCTTGTATGAACTACAAATTCAGAAATAACCTGGAAGTAAGGGGAAAAAATTGTGAACTCTGTGAAAATAGTTTCCATAAAGCATATATACTTCACCTTTACATATAGAACATATTAACCTATTTTTTCACATGCTGCATAGTTATCTGGTTTCATCTGGAACCACTCTTGATTCTACCCAGAGATGCATTCTGAGCAGAGAGATGAATGTCAGTGGTAGTAGAAGAAGGCACGCTTCAGGAAGGAATGACAATGGGAATTGGCCACATGGTCAAGACAAAATAAGCAGTAATCAGAATGACTTCATAAACAGCCTAGCCTGATATCTCAGAGCATCACTGGCAAGGAAAACAGCAGAACCAACAGTTGGAAATCCCAAAAGATTTCAGCCTAGGAAACCCTATGGAGCAGTTCTACTGTGTCCTGTAGGATATGAGTTGGAATCGACTCGACAGCACACAGCATCAGTAGTCTAGGGGTAATTAGTGGAAGAACTAGCTGAGCTCTTACATCATGAGAATCTGAAGAAATTATGGAATTTTACTGTAGTAAAGTGAAATCTGTGAGAGTTGGAAGTCAGTGGGACTGCCTTGTTTTTCCAGGACTTGAAAGTTTTCTGCCTTTGACGGGGTGCAGTCTTACCCTTTTTAAAATCACTCTGTTAGTGGAAAATATTTTAGTTTTTCTTTTCTGATGGGTTTCTGCCTTATACAGGTTCTGGCTTTCACAGGTTTTACTATGTAACAGTTGACCCTAATGGTGATCCTTAAGCATCAAGAAGAAGCTAAATTATACTAAATTATCAGTATGCTTTGAGGGGATAAAAGTAGAAAATAATGTACCCCAAAACATTTTCTTTTTACTACAATGTAAAGTTGTGCATATTTAAACACTGCATTTGAAAGTATCTGGGAGAGATGCAAATTCATTTCTAAAGAGTGACATTTTTTCCTCTGATAGATTAATAATAAAAATCTATACCAATTTGGAAGGAACTCTGGGAGTGCTGTGGTTAAGGCATTGAGCTGTCAACTAAAAGGTCAGCGGTTTGAATCCACTAGCTGCTCCATGGGAGAAAGATGAGGCATTTGGCTTCTGTAAAGATTTACAGCCTTGGAAACCCTATGGGGGTTGTTATGTGTTATAATAGACTTGATGACAGTGGGTTTGGTTTTTGTGGTTTTTATACCAGTTGGGGAGTGAAGAAAAAATATTAATGTAAAATAAAATCTCTAGGGACTTTGCTTCCACAAGACTATTTTGGCAAGATATTTCTAAGAATAGTAAAAACATTTTACATATAGTCATAGGAACTTAATAGCTAACTTAATCATAATCAGTTCAATTCAATATACCAGTTAAAAAAAGACCAAATTGTTTTGCATTTGGAATATATTTAATCTAAAGATTGAAAGCACACTGATTATTGTTGGGAGCTTTTATGGTTGTGTTGGCTGGAAAATAATAGCAAATTGATTATGTAGAAAGGAAGAATCTATGTATAAATATAGTTGTGGGTTTGGGTTCTTCCTAAAATTTTCCTGGATTTGACTTTTCAGTTTCCGAGTCACCTTCTTTCTTCTCTCCCTCACAACTAAGATCTAGTGCATTACAACATTCTGTTAGCTTTGCCTTCAGTTTTTCCTTAATGTAGTCACTTAATGTCAATATATCATAGTCTAACCACATCAGATTCCCTTCCTGGACTTTTGCAATAGTCTCCTAACTTTAAATAAGATCATGACATTTCCTTACTCAAAACCATCTCTTAACTTCCCATACCAAACTCCTTATCCTGCAAAAGGCTCCTTCTTATTTGGTTTCTTCCCCCTTCTCCAATTTCATCTCCTGCCACTGTCTTCCTCACTCATCATTTTCAACAACACTGTCTTTGAACATGCCAAGCTAATTTCCACCTTAAGTCTTTGGTCCTTTTTGTTCTCACCACCTGGGATACTCTACCTTTCATCTTCACATGGCTTATTCCCTCATGATCAGCTCCTTGTTCAAATGTCACCTCCTCAGAGCAGCTCTCCCTGACCTTTCTTGACTCTCCCTATCCTCTTACTCTTTTTTCCTAAAACCCATTGAGTTTATAGTCCTTAGGTACCATCTTTGTCACTAGAATATAAACTCTGAGAAATCTATTTATTCTGTATCTCCAATGCCTGACAATTAGTAGGTACTCAGTAAAGTTACTGAGTTGATGAATGAATAAATTTTTAGGGGCAGTCAGAGCAGTTTGCTTTTCTTTCAGAAAAAGAGGGTGCTCTATTTTTAGAGTCAAAAATTAAATCAGGTGGGGAAAATATCAATATTCTATTCTATTATTGGGTTTTAAATTAGAAGCTGTTTTCTGGTGGTGTAGTGCCTAAGGCATTTGACTGCCAACTAGAAGGCTAGAGGTTCAAACCTACCAGCCACTCCTCAGAAGGAAGATGGGGCAATCTACTTCCATAGGGATACCGCCTCGGAAACCCAAGGAGGGGTCGCTATGAGTCGCATCCGACTCCATGGCAGTGTGTTGTGTTTGTTGTGTACCCTATTTAATTTCATGACATTTTAATTTCAGATAAGCTTATTCTATGTGTGTGTACCTCTAGGGAAAATCTCATCGTGACCAACAGCTGCTGCTTCTCAAGAAGCACTTAGAAAATAATTATAGGAGCAGAGATCGAAAGTGGATTGTACTGTTTCCAGAAGGGGGCTTCCTCAGGAAGAGGCGAGAAACAAGTCAAGCATTTGCCAAGAAAAATAACTTGCCATTTCTTACACATGTCACCCTGCCAAGGATTGGGGCAACAAAAATTATTTTGAGTACACTGGTAGCACGACAGGAAAATGGAATCCCAGCAGGAGGAGATGCTAAAGGACCAGGTATGGTGGCTTTTAGCATTTTTCTTTCTTGTGGGAATGAAAGAATTTTCTGGAGTTCCGGAAGATGACATTGTTGTTATTTTTTATATTTACAATTTTGTCAAATAGAAATATTAGAAGATAAAATAATGAATAATTTTTATATTTACAAAGTAATCCATGCTTTTAATGATTTATTCACCTAATACGGAAGTGTATGAAAGAAAAGACATGTTTTCTGGACCGTACAAAAAAAAACAAACCAAACTCACTGCCATTGAGTTGGTTCTGACTAATTGCGACCCCCTTTAGGTTTCCGAGATGGTAAATCTTCGTGGAAGTAGATTGCCCAGTCTTCCTTCCACAGAGTAACTGGTGGTTAAACCCAGCCTTCTGGTTAGAAGTCAAATGCCTTAAGCACTGTGCCACCAGAGCTCCTTTCTGGACCTTACTTGCTCATGTATTCCAGGGTATTCCCACTACTGTAGTAAATATGACTATAAGTATATCTTTACATATTTGTGGAACTATTTCTGTAGTATAAAATGCTAAAAAGGAATTGCTAGGTTAAAAGACAGAGATAGACACATGCACTGCCATTGAGTCGGATCCAACTTACAGCGACCCCTCCTTGGGTTTCTGAGGCGCTATCACTACAGAAGTAGATTGCCTAACCTTCTTTCTGAGGAGTGGCTGGTTGGTTTGAACCTCCAGCCTTCTGGTTAGCAGTCAGATGCCTTAGGTGCTATGCCACCAGAGCTCCCATAGAGGTATAGAAGTGACTAATAAATTTTTTAAAACTAACCACAGATATGCAAGTAGAAATAATAATAATGATGATGTTGTTTTTTCACTTAGTCAAATTAAGGAAGTATTTTTGTTTGCAGTTTGGTAGTGTTTCTTTAAAACCTTAAGAATGTTGATAAATGACTCAGTTATTCCTCTACTAATAATACTTATCACAAGAAAATAATCTGAAAGACAAGTAAAGAAGTTTATCATAGCATTATTTATAATAGAAAAAAATTAGAAATAGCTTTAATAACCAATACGGAGAATGGATAAGTAATTATCAAATATCTCCATGATGGAATACAACATTGCCATTAAAATGCTGGTTATGGAGGATTTTTATTGGCTTGGGAAATGCTTATTCTATAATGTTAACAGGAGCTCTGGTGATGTAGTGCCTAAGGCATTTGAATGCTAACCAGAAGGCTGGCAGTTCAAACCCACCAGCCACTCCTCAGAAGGAAGACTGGGCAGTCTACTTCTTTAGAGATACCACCTCGGAAACCCAAGGAGGGGTCTCTGAGTTGGAATTGACTTGACAGCAGTCAGTTTGGTTTTGATTTTTGGTATAATATTGATAGGAGCCCTGGTAGCACAGTGGTTAAGCGCTAACCGAAAGATTTGCGGTTCAAACCTGCCAGCAATTAGGCAGCAGAAAAATACAGCACTTTGCTTCCATAAATATTCCATAAATATTACCAAAACCCACTGTCACTCAGTCACTTGTGGCTCATAGTGACCCTATAAGACAGAGTAAAACTTTCAAGGCTATAAATCTTTACAGAAGCAGACTGCTTCATCTTTCTCCCATAGAGCGCCTGGTGGGTTTCAACCACCAACCTTTTGGTTAGCAACTATAAAGATTATGTCCTTGGAAACCCTATGGGGCAGTTCTAGTCTGTCTTGTAGGGTAGCTATGAATCTGAATGGATTCTACAACATGGGGTTTTTATAATGTTAATTGTTGTTGTTGTTATGTGCCGTCAAGTCGGACCCGACTCATAGTGACCCCTCCTTGGGTTTCCGTCAAGTCGGACCCGACTCATAGTGACCCCTCCTTGGGTTTCCGAGGCAGTATCACTACGGAAGTAGATTGCCCCATCTTCCTTCCGAGGAGTGGCTGGTGAGTTTGAATCGCTTCTGGTTAGCAGTCAACTGCCTTAGCCACTATGCTACCAGAGCTCCTGTAATGTTAATAATGTTAATAGGATAGGGAAACAGATAACTGTTGTGAAAGGCATATGAGCTCAAATCTATAAACAATGAGGCAGTAGGGAATGAGTGAAAGCAAAAGTACCAAAGTACTCACAGTGATTGCTTCTCTAGGATGGTATTTCTCCATTTCCTAATACTTTTCTGAATTTTTCCTTTTTTTTTTTTTTTTAAATTATGAGCATGTATTGCTTTTATATCAAAAGGAAGATTGGGCAATCTACTTCTGTAGAGATACTGCCTCGGAAACCCAAGGAGAGGTCACTATGAATTGTATCAGACTTGATGGCAGTGAGGCTTTAAATTTTAAATTGCTTTTATAATCAGGAAAAAGTAAACCACACTCAAAGAAGCAAATGTATTGGAACATAGCCTTGGATGTTTTGGAGAAAATATTTGTGCCAACAACTTGAAGGTAGTTTTGAACAAGTTTATCTAAGACATTACTATGATAGTTTGGTGATAAATTGTAAAATAAATAGCTGAAAGAAACTTACTAGCCCTGTTTCCTTAGTAGCATTTTGCTGCTGCTTCTAATATTCTTTGGGGGAAGGTGGGGGAAGGACAGCTTCCATTCTCAGAGATACATATTTTTGAATGCTAGTAATGACCAGATGTAGAAATAATGCCTGTGAGATTATACCGGTTTCCTTTTCCTTGCCCCCCCCCTCCCCCAAAGCAGGTGCTTGGGATTCAGCTCTCTTAATCTTTTCATCATCTATTAAAAAGACAAATTGAAAGAGTCTTTTAATAGAAAATGAAAGTTCAGAATAGCTTCACTGCTGGAGAGACACTGGGGCAATGTCAGTCAAGGCAAAGCTTGAAAGCAGAGGTCTTCCAAATAGGATTAGTTGCACTAATAAAGACTGCTATGTTTTCCATAGTTCACCCCGCCCATACCCTGTGATGTTCTAAATTTCAAAGGCAGGGACAGTGGTCATACTGATTATATGAAAGTGAAGAAAAATTATTTTTCCTTTGGAGAGGAAAAAATTTCTATTCATAACCAAAGTAAAGTATTTTGCAATTTTTATACTTTTGTTCAACATTTTTATTATAGCTGCTTAGAAAAATCATAAGAAATTCTAGAAAGATGTATACCAGGAAAATAGTTTTACCTGAATTTTACTATTTTCTTTCCCCACTTTGATATTTTGCATTTTATTTTCTTTAGAGCGTATATTCACTTTTTGGTGTTTAATTCTATGAGTTTAATGTGATCCATAGGCCAAAATTAGGTTGTACCGGATTAACTTTAAAATAATTATTATTTTTATTATATTATTTAACGTATTTTGGATTGAACTCTAGGGATTTTCCCCCATCATTTAATTATAAAAATTTTCAAACATACATAAATGTTGTAAGAAATTTACAGTGAACATCGTGAACTCACCAACTGCATTTTATAATGAACATTTTTTATATTTGCTTTATCACATCTCTCACCATCCAGCTTTCTATCTATCCATTAATACATCATGTGTGTGTGTTTGGATATATCTCAAAGTAGGAGATCTGGTGGCATAGTGGCATAGTGGCTAAGGCA